CACCCTACATTTTTCGTAGAACAATATCTTATCAACGTCTGATGTTCATGCTAGGTGCTCTATCGTGTTAAGTTCTCCATCTCACAGATGAAATTTCGAAAAGCCATATGTCAAGCGACTGAGGACTGGCCAGAGTAAGTTTTCTATTTCAAGACGACAATTACATCTCATGTGAATCAATCTATCTACGAATAAGCCAACAAATTTCTGAATTTATGCTTATGACTAGGCTGCACTATGAGTTGGAAGTCAAATGCAAGCAAGGAGATGATAGTCTTGATGTCATACTTGACCATGAGGCTACACTATCAATAATGGGAATATCACCCAGCAAATACAAAAAACTCGATGCAGAATCAGCCAAGGCGTTACTGGTCAAAAGATGTAGCAGAATGTTTGCAGGAGAGCTCTACATCGGTTCCTCAGATCTGAAGAACAGAACCAGAACAGCCGTATCCCATATAAGAGTGGCTACCCTTTGGCACACCTCAAGGATAGATAAGTGACCTTCAGATCTACTGACAGAAATACCAAACGAAGTATCCCATCCACCCCCAGAATTCTCCATTTTCAACTAAAGTTTCTATTCCCTATTTTCAGTGAAGACAAAACTGTGGCAGATGTGTTTATGTTTTTAAATTTCGTCGAAGGCATCAGATACTCAAGTTTTTAGTCCCTATTTTCAATGAAGACAAAACTATGGCAGATGTATATGTGCGGTGAGCACAAAGTTTGTTAATATGTTTATTAATTTCTGCGCTCTCTACCGCAACGAATATAAACTATTTGCGAATGGTATAGCAGAGAGAACATGGCAAAATCCACAAAACAATTGGAGTCATTCTTACCCCGCAGCAGAGCGCGAGCCGAGTACTAGTATAGTGAAAATTCACACACACTTATATAACATTAATATTCAAATGTTCAACTTAGGATTCCAAAGATTGAGTTAGGCGAAAAGAAAAATCGGAAAATATGCGCATTTCGCAAAACAAAGAAAAAAATGACACAATTTGACCTCCAACCCGGTACCTTGTAGCGGTCGACCCGACGAGTGCGTATGGCCCGTTTTTTTCACTCAGTATCAAAGTGGTTCAAACCGCTGTTGACAACCTACCTATCTAAGCCGGCACTAATCGCGGAAGATCTCCAGATTCGACGGAAGCGCCGACTCTTTTCCTTTTCCCTGGCTGCGTCAATCGACAAAACCCAAACCCCCGAGTTCACAAAACCAATTTCAGATTTCCCGAAATCCTTCTTCAAACAAATCATGATTCCCAGAAGAAAAACCAGTTCAAGATTCCTCCTTTTCACTCTCACTCTTCTCCTGTTGATCAATCTCTCCGCATTTGTCGCTTCCACCGAACTCGAAGACGACGACGGCGAAATAGACGAATTGCTTGCCATTGATGAACAAGAAGAAGAAGAGGGTTCAGCGGATCAGCATCAGCACGTGGAGCAGCAGAAGGAGGCCGAGGTATTGACCAAAGCCCAAAGGATAGTACTTGAGCTGAATACCGACAGCTCTAGCAGGGCGATTAGTGAGAATGAGTTCGTTTTGATTCTTGGGTATGCGCCTTGGGACACCAGGAGTGCAGAGCTCATGCCTCAATTTGCCGAAGCTGCGAATAAGCTGAAGGAGTTGGGAAGTCCCATTGTGATGGCTAAGCTTGATGCTGAAAGGTACCCCAAGGCAGCTTCCGCACTTCAGATCAGAGGGTTCCCTACTTTGCTTCTCTTTGTCAATGGCACCTCTCAGCCTTACACTGGTGGCTTTACTGGGTATGTCTTTGTTTCTGGAGCATTATGAGGCCAGTGATAGTTTAGTATTTGCAGAAAGGTTTGATTCTTTTTATGGACAACAGGGAGGATATAGTGATCTGGGCTAGAAAAAAGACGGGTGATCCAGTGATTAGAGTAAATTCAGTTGCTGAAGCAGAGAAGTTTCTTCAGACGCATCATATCTATGTTATTGGTCTTTTTGACAAGTTTGAGGTACGTATAACGGATTGTGGGAACCATTATAATGTTGTTTTTGACGCTTAGATAGAATTTTGGAGGAGCTTGTCATGATTGGTCGTATCTCCTAAGCTCATTAAACCGTTCTAGCTGCTATGGCAAACTTTCTGTTAGGTAATTAGATGGTTGTTGACATGTGTGGAATGTGAAAATTTTCTCAGGGTTCTGATTATGAAGAATTTGTCAAGGCTGCTATCTCTGACAATGGAATCCAGTTTGGCGAAGTATGTGATCATAGAGTTGCTGAAGTTCTGTACCCAGATATCAAGTTCACCAGCAAATTCGTCGGACTTGTGAAAAGTGAACCTGAAAGATATACTATATATGGTTAGTTCAAAAGTTTCTTGATTTCATGTGAGACATTTTAACTACAGTTGTTTGCTTTCAGTTTGATGGAAGAAATACTTCTGTTTACACTTTTGCCTGAGTTTGATAGAATGCTGAATTTGTGTATTGCAGAAGGTGCCTTTGAGATGGGCAAGATACTGGAGTTTCTGGCTTACAATAAGTTTCCTTTGGTTACCAGGCTGACAGATTTGAATTCTGTCTCTGTATACTCGAGTCCAATCAAACTTCAGGTAGCTTCTACCTTTTACAGTACAGTTTTGCTCTTGTCCTTGTATCTCACACGTTGTCTCCCTTTCTGTGTGAGAGTTCATCTTTATGGTTTTATGTGTTCATCTAAAGGAGTGAATAAATGTCTAGAGGTGCGAATCAGCATTATCGGTCAGTGAAATTCTGCAGCGATTACCTTCTTCTTTATCGTGCTATTTCTGGCACCCTGTTCTTGTCTGAACTATGTCATGTGGCATGCTTTACATTCACAAATTTCACTGAGTCTCATATGTGAAACCACTCAGAAACTGGTTTTCCTTGAAAATAATCTCGAGATTGATTGTTAAACATACAACTTGCTATTTTCTTGTTCCTACAACATTGAATAAGGGTATCCTGTTTCAATTGCCTTGAGCTTTCTCTTAAATTCGAAATCATTGTGGTGTAATGACTATTTACCCAAAACAAGTTAAACTTGGTATTAAACTACACTCATGGTGGCCCAGGTTATGGTTTTTGGAGAGGAAGATGATTTCAAAAGACTTATCGAGCCTCTGCGACAGGTTGCCAGGAAATTCAAATCAAAGGTTAGTCTAAATCATTTGTTAGGCACATTTATTTTTATTTCATGGTATAGTTTCTTAGGCTGTCTTATTTGTGCAGATAATGTTCATATATGTAGACATCAAGGATGACAACCTAGCCAAGCCTTTCTTAACTCTGTTTGGGCTTGAAGATTCAGATCACGCATTGGTTACACTCTTGGCCTTCACCTGAATTGAATATCTTGCTGTCTTTATATAGTATAACAGAGATTGAAGCTAATGAAGTTGATCCTTCAATGCATGGCAGGTGACTGCTTTTGATAACAAAATCAGCACCAAATTTTTGTTAGAAGCTGAGCCAACATCTGGGAACATAGAAGTACTACTTGGTTACTCCTATTCTAGTTTTCTTTTTTCTAGATTATAGGATTTTCTTATTCTTCATTTAATAATGATTAGAACTGTTAAATTGACCAACATGCACTTTCCTTATAGGATTTCTGCTTAGGGCTTCTGAGTGGAAGTTTTCCGGCTTACTACAAATCACAACCGGTACCTGATAATGTGAGCTTCAGAATGGTTAAACTCCTGTGTTTCTCTCCGTAACAAATGATGAACTTAGATGCATCATTCATCAATCTAAATTTTGATTTATAGGTAATTCTTCTCGTCTTGTTTATTGCAGAAAAATGTGAGCGTCCTGGTGGTTGTCGGAAAAACTTTTGACGAATTGGTTCTAAATAGTCCGAAGAACATACTTCTTGAGGTGAAAAAATTTACTTCCTGAGTCTTATAAACACAATCTGCTTGCCAAAAGTGCTCTTTGATAATCCTTGTAAACTTGGTGGTTATGAAAGCAGATATTTACGCCTTGGTGCATCAATTGTGAGACTACAAGCAAGCAGGTTGAGAAGCTTGCAAAGCATTTTAAAGGGTCGGACAGCTTAGTCATTGCAAGGATTGATGCTTCTGCAAATGAACATCCCAAATTGCAGGCATGCCCTTTTCAGCTGTAAAATTGATGGGCTGAAATGAATAATTCCCTTCTGGGTTTTGCCATTGAAGTTGTTAGCGGATAAAGCTTCAAACTTTTGGCTCAATATGATCATGCAAAGTTAAATCAAGAGTTAAAAATGACTTGTGTTCTATTCATTTCTGCAGGTAGCCGACTATCCAACACTCTTGCTTTACCCAGAAGATGATAAAACTAATCCGGTAAAGGCATTCAAAACATTCATTTTCGTATGGATATCTCCTCTCAGGTTCACTTTTACTAACACTGCCATACAAATCCATTTCGATACTCAGATCAAGCTGTCAACAAAATCCAGTGGAAAGGACTTGGCAGCGGCCATCAATAAGCATTTGAAGTCCAATTCCTCAAAAGATGAACTATAGCTAAGGAACCCAGAACTAGAAACAGCAGTCAGCAACTCTTGAGAATTTAACCATATCAAGAATGTCTTAATGGAATGCAGACTAGAGAGTCGATCCTACAAATATCTTTTGATCTACTTGCAAACTGCACACTGTTTAGAGGCATAGCATAGTGAAATTACGACCGAAGAGTTGGTTCAGTGGGCAGAGTGTATGATTTCTGTTGTCAGGTTAATGTATACACAGATTTATAGAGCAGAGGACTTTATTATAACAATGACTTGTGCCGTATCTTTTTGCAACAAGTTGTACCAAGTTCTCAACAAAAATTACTCTTAACGATATTCAGCAGGACTTGTTGTCACCATTGGTTGAATGAAGGGCGATACTGCAGCGACAGCTTGCCATCTCGTCATAATGTTCATATTGATGGCTATCTTCGGCACCAGCGCTCCAATAAACGTCAGCTCACAGAAGGACGTGAGAGGCCTTAGCAAAAAATGTTTTCAAGAGGGATCTTAATTCTTATGTCTGGTACTCGTGTCCTACAAGCATTACCTCTCCCCAACGCGTCGAGGTTATTAAGTCAGCTGGCTGAATCACGGACCCATATTGTCACCACTCCGTTGGAGCTTACGGAAGTGATGGCGAATGCAAGGCGGGGCGAGAGTTTTTCCATTTCTAAAGTACTCGTGAGATTCAAGCTTATCATCTACACAAAATGGCCTTTTGCAATGAAAGCAAAATCGAGGAGAGCAACATGACGGGGATGAGAGTGCTCCTGCTCTGCTATATATAACTTCTTTTATTTTGTACGTTTGTAGTCTCTCCGAGTTCTAGCTTCTAGTGTCTGAGAATAAGTGGCAGTGTCATTCTCGCCTTAAGAAACTATGATTGGGATAAACAAGACATGGAATCAGACCAAGAAATAATCATAACTTGCTGCTTACTACTAGCCCAAGAAACCAGGTTGGCGACAATGCAAATAGCATACCCTTCCACAATCAGCATCGGAGTAAGCCGCAAGAGCAGGGGAGAAGACTCCAGTGTCACCATCTGTTTGTACTACCATGGTAGTAAAGGAGTAGACAATGATGTGAAAACCAAACCAGGACTGAGGCTGCCACAGGTTGACAGAGCACTGCAGCAGAAGCAGCGTTGGCTGGTTGAGCAATCGGTATGCTACCATTGTAATGGCGCAAAGGCAGTTTACAGGTTTTAACGTTACTGCAGAACCTCAAATGCAGCGAGGGTCTGCCTTATGACCTAAAAGGAAGTATTCTTTCTTCTTTCTATACACGAGACAGGCAGGCAATAGAGGGTGGTTTCAAAATTAGCACCCTTACATTAGTCTGCTAATAGCTTTACGAACAAATGTCTTCAAATCCCATGTACTCTTTCCCCTCAATCTTCTTGATCATGTGTACTATCCCAATCCCACCTGCATACAAATCCAAAACAAGCACAAAGATGGCTTCAGATGTTTTAATCGATCCAGCGAGAATCTAACTCTAGATGCATCTGTAATCATCTGCAGAGCTCACAAACATGGAAGTGAAGGCATAAATGTACATTACCTAGCAAGATTGCGCTAACAAAGATGGTGAAGGAGAGAGTGAAGATGATAAGAGATGCTCTCCCTAGTAAAGCGATCAACTTTCTAATCACATGTTGCCCTGCCAAGGCAGATATGGTGGCCACACCAAAGAAATACAGAGCTGGCCAATTGAAATTCAGCATGAAACCAAAGCCAATAAAATGGTTAACCAAAGTCAAGAACACCAAACACATGAATTCGTATAAGTACGAGAAAGCTAGGTTACCATAAGGAACCGGGAAGCGCTTCAGAAGGTAGTACTCCACAACGGACATTGACGCTGAGAATGTCATGGCAAAGGTGGAAGTGGCACTTGCAACCTACTTAAACAATATTGAAGTTAGAAGAGGAAACACCTTAGTCTAGACATGATTTCTTTTATGTTTATCTCACCTGTGGAGGAACTCCCAACTCCAGAAATAGAGGGCCTAAGATGAACCCACCACCAAGCCCCAGCATTCCACCAACTATACCGGCCAGTAGGCCGAGGAAACAGTAGAAAAGCAGTTGATGCACTCTCAAGTTTGAACTTACTTCTCCCCTGGAAGCAATCTTTCTCCGCCCTTTGTATAGGCCAATGGCTTCATATGAACTCACAGCAACAGCCACAGGAATCTGGAAATGCAACCAAAAGACAGGTACGATACATTCATCAATTAGCCTTCGAGTCTTCTTCATGATTTAAAAGGATTCTATTAGGATTTACCTGAAAGAAGTTCAGTAGCCAGTATGCCAAAGAGCAGTTTGATGTATAGTTCTGCATTATGGAGAGACAAGAGACTTCCTTCAGTCTAGGTCATCACGAACTGAAAATGGAGGGGCTGGAAGTTGGAACTCTCCTCACCTTGCCAATTTGCAGGACTAGTATAATCAACCACACAGCAACAAGAAGTCCGAGTTTTTTCCAATAAACATTCTCGAGAATCGTGACCTGCTGAAATTGCAGTGAACTTTAGTTCTGAAAAACACACAAGTTGATGAAACTTAAAACCCAAGTAAACAAGTTTCTTGCGACCTCTTTCTTTGGCTCTTTGGTTCCTGGTTGAGCTGCCTCAGTGAGAGCTTCTTCTGTTTAAGGAAAACAGAGTTGGCTTGTCAGCAACAAAGCAGAGAAAAAAAAGCAAACTCTTAAAAGTGATGGGCAATCAAAGCTTCACAAATTGAGATCACCATTGACTTCCAAGCTTCTGGCAGCCTCCTGCAAAATGCAGACCAGTACTGAGCATTTTAAGTCTGTAGCCAAGTACAAATAAATCAAAGATGATATACACATAGCATAAGATCTTCGTTTTAGTTATAACCTTCTTTGATTTGGTTTCCTTCTTCCACGTCTCCACGCCTTTTAAGAACGACTTGGTTGATGTAACTGCAAAGTTCACCAGTATGATTAGAAACAGGTTTTCTACCAAAAAAGAAAAAAAGGTTAGCTGCCAAAGAAGGCATAACTGAAGAGAGGGAAAGAGTACCAAGGAAGAAGAAAATCAGTAGAATGGTGATCATCCAGTCAGCAAAAAGAACATTCAGAGCCACCCCAATGCTGATTCCAAGCATCAACATAGGCTGAAACATGAGTGCAAGGTCATAGTCTATGACGGGTAGTTCAAGAGTGGGATGCCTCATCTTCAAATTGTAGTAAACTGTTGCAGCTGCTGCTCCTGTGATCATACCTGAGAAAGGCAAAAACACAAACAAAAGAGAAAGCAGTCTTCAATTTGCTTGCCGAAAAGATTATTGGGTTTCTGCAGCTGAGAAAAAGAGTGAGATTCAAATTCAGAACTTACATTTGGAGATCGCTGTTGATGACTTGGGATCAAAACCAATGATAAGAGTGAGCATGGGAACAAAAATGCCGCCTCCACCAACACCTCCTACACTCCCACAAGCTGCTCCAATGAATCCAATTACGGTGCCTACCACAATCCTCCATCCAAATTCCATACCCTGCATGAACCCCAGAAAAGTTCTTGGAATTGGGTTTTGCTTGCCATGCATGGTTCACAAATCTGGGTTGGGACATTCAACAAACACATAGAGAGCTGATAATGGAAAATGGGGATGGCAGGATTTTCTTTTTACCGGCCAGACATGCTGATACCCAACTCTGCCCTTTCCAGAAATGAAGCCCAGTGACCTTCTCAGATGGTGAAAGTCCTCAACTTTATCAGTTCCATTTCTGCAACTTGAATCTGCCAAAACAAGGACTGAAGCTGCAGCAAGAATGAAGCCACCAAGAGCTGCTACTTGCATGGTTGGTTTGCGAAACAAAGCCATGATTATTCTGTATCCTCAATTACCCTCTTCCTCTTTTTGGCACCTCCAAACAACTTAAGTAGCCTTCTTTATGTTTCTTCTGCCAAGTGGAAAAAAATGGCAGCCATGCAAACCAGACATTGAAAAGGCAAGAAAAAAAAGACTACTTTTTTGTATTTGGTTTTTATCTGTTATTATTATTGTCTTCAGGTTTCACTCTACAATCAAAGGGTTGGCTGATTGCTAGAAACAAAGACAAGAAGATCAGAGACATGCCGCGTCCTGAACGACACTAGTAAAGATGGAGTAGCTAACAAGGTACGTAACACAGTAAAAAAGCTTAAAAAGCGTCTCCTCTGCCGTTTACACAAGGCTGTATCTGGTGCCGTTTCTATAAAGGTTATATAGATGTCGATGATGAACTGCATTTATTGTTGCTGAGAGATAGTTTATTTAATGCTAAGCCATTCTGTGAAACCAAAACTCATTCACCAGTGTCCAAGTTTATACAACTCCGTCGTAGTGAAAATTCTCAAAATACAATAGTTCTACAAGAATTTTTTTGTCAATCTATACACGTTTAGGGTTGATCGCTTTAGTTGTAGACATTCGAATATTTGATTGTTGGTGACAAAATCAATGTGTCATTGAACGCTGGGAAAAAAAGGGGATGCACACGAATCGTTGAGGTGACGAGCGAATCAACAGTCGCAGCATCATGTTTAAGTGGTGGGAGCGATCCAAGTGCACCGGTGGGAGAGCAAAGCTGTTGGTCTAGATTCCTTCTTCATTCACTACGGATGTGAAATTCTACGACGTGGGACAATGAATGAGAAGCTCGATTCCAGAAAGATAGATGCGACTTGTTCGTTTACGAGTTCCTCAATTGCTTGTGCATTGACCTCATCGCTCTTTTCTTCCCTACGACGGGTAAAGCAGACTTCTTCTGGATCGAGGAGAGCGATTCCAACATTCTATCTACAGAGTCCTTGGAGGCCTCGAGTTCCCAAAGAGGAACAGGCTTATCCTGCGATCGGAGCATCAACGTCGACCAATGCAACCTTTCAACTCAAAGCAGCATTTGGATACATGAGGACTAGCAGTTTGGATTTCATGGCATCGTTTTGTCTCCATTGCCAACACTTAACCAAACCATCTAGTCACTCCTTAAACAGATTCTCATCAAAGAGAATCCATCTCTAACAGATATAGATTAACATCACCACTCCCGTCGGCATAACAGCCGCACAAACATTCAAGTTCCACGAAACCTCAACTACAACAGAAAACGAAAAGCAGCAAAAAAAAAAAAAAAAACTGAAACAGAGCAGTAGCTATATTTACCTCTATCTATCTAGCACTAAGAAGAGCACACGAACAACATACAACAAACTGCGAAATTACTTTACCAGAGGGACAACAGGTAAAGGGGGAAACTTTAGAGCAGGAGGAAGACAGACTCACACAACCCCTTCCGTCAAAATTGGTCTCTCACCTTCTCCTCCTTCCTCGTCGTCATCACCGTTCTGATCCTTCTTCTCCTTGTTGAGCCCACCACCGTCCACACACCCTTTCCCTCTTTCCTTCTCCTCAATCTCGCCACCGCCGACCACCACTTCATCCCGACCATCCTCCACCAAACCACCGCCCTTGTCGGCCACGCAGCTCCCCTGCTCATCCAAGCCCTCGTCTATTCCGACCAGCACATCCGCAGCACCGGCGACGGGAGGCGCTCCGACAATGGCATCGGAAACATCCTTTGCCTCCGGCCAAGGGTCCTGGACGCAATCGCCACCGTCGTCGGTTTCGTCCGTGAAGATGGAGGTGGCGCGTGACTTGACCGCAGAGGCGGCTTTCAGAAATGCTTCCTTGATCGAATCGGGAGGAAGTGCGCAGTCTTCTAGCCCGGCGTCCTCCAGTCGCGGGGGTAGGATTTGATCGAGCAGCCCGCTAGCTTGTTTGCCTTTCGTTGCCTCCATGATTGAAGCGTCAAGCAGAACAGGGATCTTACCTTTTCTAATGATTTAGGGTTCCAACTTCGAAAGGAGTCGGAATTTGTATCAGTCCAAAAGTGGATAGGGACAAATAAGATAGGCGGTGGTAAGATTTGTGGCATTGCGATCGATCACTTAACTTTAGGTTATTAACAAACTAATCACTGAACTTTACTTTTTGAATGATGAATGAGTGAATCACTCAATAGTCAATACTTTTGGAATTCGTTTAAATGCCTATGTTTGGCCCGAATTTTAGAAATGTTTTTCGGTTTGAAAAACTGAAGTAGGGGCTAAAACTTCTAAAGCTCGGCTTTTGGAAAGCTGAAAAGTGGTTTTGTATAACATAAAAGCAGAAGCTCCAAAATTTCTGCGAAAAACTGTTTTGAAAATACAAGATTATCTTTACTATTTTTTAATTTTATTTAAGAAAATATAATTTTATTTTATTAATATCCTTTTAAAAATAAAATAAATTATAAAAATATTATTTAAAAATATAAAAGAAATCTAACAAGATCCATATTGACTACTTTTTATTGTTTTAAATTTTTATTCATATTTTATTTTGTAAATCTTTTATAGTCATTTTACATAATCTCTTATATTAAAAAACACTTCTAATAGTTTTTCAACCAAACACTCAACTGCTTGTTTTGAAAAGTACTTCTCCAAAATCTCCAGCGAGAGCCTGATTCTGCAAAAACTACAACATGGTCAAACTAGCCCAATATCTCATTTGAAATGAAGATGGAAAATGAGAGAGTTTGATGTGGAAGGATTTCAAAAATTTGCATATTCAGAATTTGAAATAACTGACATTTTCCAACTATTTTCAAATCTTGCACTAATTCATTTATTTGTTACATTATGTCCGTATTTTTTTCCATTATTCCGCATTTACCCTCAACAATACTTTAATATTATTATTGATTATTTTCGTCAATTTGCCCATCAAAGAGTTTATTCGTATGAGAAAACATTAAAAACAAGCATTGCAAATCGCAACTAATTTATAATTACGCTTACCCATAGCATAAATCCCAATTTTTTCATTGCATTAAGCAAATATCCCAAGAAACCCCTCCAACATTACCACCTGAAGTCATATAATAGTTTCTAGTTTTCCACATTACCACAACCGCGTAGGCGAAATGGCTGCATGCATAGCTTTAAAGATAGGTGATTATTTAGGTGTCATTTATCGTCAATAATTTTGTAACTCTTTTTTAGTTAAAATTTTAAGATTTTGAAATATTGACATTTATATGTTTCTTTTTAGTCAGTATCATATTGACAAGACTAACAAAATTACTAAATAAAAGTTGACATTTGGCTATTTATTAATATTTTGATAGATTTGGCTATTAAAAAAAAATTAAATAAGATTTGGATAGTAAATAGACATTACCCATTATTTATTGACAGCCAAAACTTAACTGCGGATTTTTGGTCAATTACCCCAAATAAGAGCATCATCAAAAAGTGTTCATGATTCTGCTTTGCTCCACGAATCGGATTGTCAAAGTGTGCAGACATATAGAGCTTTTGTAGAGCTTTAAGTAGTATTTTGCAGTTCCAATCAATATAAACCTCTACACATAACGCTGTCAGGAATAATATCTCCAAGGAAGTAACTTAAGCAAATATACATCAAATCGCAACCATCGATTTCCTAAGGTACGTACAATTCTGCTATCAAACGTACTCTCCATCGAAAGAACCAGTATGCCGCTCCTTGTTTAGAAACTGCTCTTAACATTCACAACCTGTGGACCTCTGCTGCTGGCCTCCACCTCCAACATCGATGGTGTCAGGAAGGTACCTTCAATCCCCAATCAAAAGAAACAAATCGTCAGTTTAGGTTGCTCCAATTTCAGGGCTGATAATTGAAGTTCAAGCCACTTCAACAGGAAATTTTGCATCGAGTATTCCTAGAAATGCTTCATTTAGTTCACTTACATCTCTTCTTCTGGTTCATTTATAAGTGCATTCTTGGCTATGCACTCAAAAGCAGCATCCACATTGAATCCTTCTTTGGCAGAAGTCTCAAAGTAGGGTATGTTCCCTTTAGCAGCACACCAAGCCTTTGCTTTCTTTTCAGAAACCTACCCGAAAGAAATCAACAAGTGATTTAGCAGCAAGCAAGCGATGGCAAACTTGCCAATCCTAAAGACGAGTTGGAACACACAACTTACCACTCGACTATTGCCACCATCAACATCGACCTTGTTTCCCAACACAACAAATGGGAAGTTTTCAGGATCTGGTGGACTTGCCTACACAAATCATTCCACACGATATCATTATCAGTATGTAGATTCAGCTTATCAAGCGACTGACTGGCCTAATAAATAAGAGATGAGTAGCAAGCACCTGAAGCAGGAATTCTTCCCTCCAATTATTAAGATTGTCAAATGATTTCATCACATTGACATCGTACACCAGGACACAGCAATCTGCACCCCGGTAGAAAGCAACACCAAGGCTTTGGAATCTTTCTTGACCAGCAGTATCCCATATCTGCAAACATATTTATTATTAACATTTGTTTTTATCTCAACAAACTAGGTATGTCCACTCAAAGTGCCATATTATACAAGCCAAATCAGTAAGATCTTCCAGGTCTATCCCTGAATCTTCATAGAACGTTCCTAACAAAGTTATCAGCAGCCACCCTTTACCTGACAACATTGATGCTTCCACTTTGGCCTATTGATCACGAACCCGGAAAGCTACATGCTAACTATGGTAGTTCAAGAATTCACAATCTAGCTGCAGTTAGCATTTCCATACACAAACAGAGTTGAATCCATCATCATCCTAGCCAGACCATACACAGTTCAACAAGTCATCTATACCGTCATTCTTAAGCATGCTTGAGGATATAGACACAGAATTACAACCACCCAACTCCAGTTCTAACAGATCGAGTAAATTACTTGAATCCAAATGACGATGAAGCCATAGAAACGTGGATGCAGATGCTAGGGGAGGGTTTCAATAGATCCTAACTGGACTCACGTTCATCTACAATACAAGAATTACAACCACCCAACTCCAATTCTAAAAGCATAATTTTGTTGTCACCATATTGAACTTGTAAAGCCACGGACAGCGATAAATCCAAAACTATTAGATGCGATCAGGCAATCTATAGAGACCAAACCATAATGAATTTCAAGCAATTTAGAAATGCAATCTAGGAAAAAGAAGGGTATATGAGGGATCAGTTGAGGTTGCACAAACCTGCAATGTGAACAATCTGTCTTCAAACTGAACTTCTTTGGTAAGGAAATCAGCTCCAATCGTGGCCTTGTACTGGTTGCTAAACTTCCGATTCACATACCTAAAAAAAAAAGACATTGTAGGATTGCACCAAAAAGTTAACTCCCATTCGAAAAGGGAAAACCGAATCTCGAGAAAGCAATCAATCAAACAAATTCAGGAAAGTTGGAGAAAACGAAAGGCAGCGTACTGATTCATTAGCGACGTTTTCCCCACCCTGTCACATCGGAAAAACAATTACCATTCATCAGAAGAATGGGAGGAAAAAGGAAGTCATTGATGGAATCAAATGGTGAGAATCGGAGAATGGGAGGGGGAAAAGAAGAAGGAGAAAAGAGTACCCGCTATCGCCGAGAATAATGACCTTGAGGAGCATCCGGCGACGAGAAGCCATGGCCGGAGAATTCTACTCTTTTTGTTGCGGAGATTTTCCTTTGTATTTCTCGTTGAAGTGGAAAATCGTCGTGAATGGATTCTTCCCTTTGAAAAAGGAAAAGCCGAAAAGCTGTAGTTGTAGTTTCCGGAGAGGGCCTGGAATTTGGGAGGGGAAGAAAGGGAATATCCTATTTTTGGTGTGTTTAAAATATCCTGAAAAATGACTTTCTACGCTTTGCTTTTACAGGGAGGCAGCCAGCTAAGCTGGCACACAGCAAGGCAGCAAACTCCATTCCTTGTTTGGAGAATAAGGGTGAATCGCAAGTTTGGTCACTCATATTAACTATTTGTTACATGTTAGCTACCCGAATCACTTTCCTTTCAATTTGGCCATTGATACTTAGGGCTGTTAATGAGCAGAGTCGAGCCGAGCTTTGTCATAGTTCGGGCTCGGCTCGTTAATATATTTTCAGGCTCGAGCTCGGCTCGTATTCGTCACGAGCTTTAATATGCAAGCTCGAGCTCGGCTCGTTTATGAAAATGAAAGCTCGAGCTCGACTCGAGCTCGGCTCGTCAAATAAGTTTAACGAGCCCAAATTCGTGTTCAGCTCATAAAATGTTCATGATAGCTCAAGATTGACCTAGAACTGCGCACAAAATTACATTCTAACCTGGAACAAAGTCTAGCAAAGTAAAACACAATATTTATCCCAATTTCAATACATAAAATCCATGAATTCTAATCCTTTTTTTATGTCAAACCATTAAATGAGCTTGTTCGCGAGCTTTCGAGCTGAACATGGTATGGCTCGAGTTCGGCTCGTTTAGTTAACGAGTTTGTTCGCGAGCCGGCTCGATTAAAACGAATCGAGTGTCGAACGAGTTTTTCTCGAGTCGCACACCGAGCCGTTCATGAGCGGCTTGGTTCATTAACAGCCCTATTGATACTACACATTTATGTCATTCTTGGTCACTCACCGTCTAGTTCTGTTAACTCTGTCCTAGGTGGCGGTTAACAATTATATTTGACAGTTAAAAAGCTGATGCGTCAGTTAAAAATAAATAAACAATAATTATTTCTATCATACTAAAATTTATAAAAATATATTTAAATAAAAATTTAATTCCATGAAAAAAGCCCACTATCTTGTCCTTCTCCCCTCACGACAAACCCCCAACCCTTCTTCCCAAGGCAATCCGCCGCTCTAACATCTCCGACGGAAATGCAGTGAACGAAGCAGAAGAAACCCACAACTCTCCTCCTCCCCTGCGCTCTCTCCTCTCCGACGAACAAACCCAAACCTAGCAACCCTGGCCTCGGACAAGCTCCTCCGACGCTTCCCTTACCGCCATCGCGATCTCCTCTTCGTCGAGCAGTCGCAAGCAATCGTCGCCGCCTTCAATCTCCAGCCATCGCTCGCCGCCTTGGTGAGCAACCGGAGAAGATCCGCCGCTCGATTTGTGATTCAGGAGTGAAGACAGGCGCTATATATATCCTTTTTGACCCTGCCACTCCAATTGATTCAACAACTGGAGAAAAGCCGCCATGACCTCAAGTAATTTGGTGCCGACCGCGGCGCCGGATTGCTGAGAGAGCGGCAGCGGCGACTGCTATTGATGAAGAGATCGTGATGCTCCCGACGATCTAGAAGTAGGGATGACAATGGGTCAGGTTGGGGCGGATTTTGTCAAACCCAAACCTATGGGTTTATCCACCAAAAAAATCCGGGGTAAAACCCGCTGGGTTTGAGAAATTCAAACCCAACCTAACCCGCTGGGTATCCACGAGTTTATGGGTACCCGTGGGTTTTTGTGGTATAATATTTACAATAACAAGTTTCTTTCAAAATAAAAGTTTAAAATTTTCTCATACAAATTATTCATACAAAAACAGCAATCTAGATCATACAAGCTAACCGCAAATGATCAATACAAATTGTTAAATAAAGATAATGCCCCGTTCACTTCTCATTTTGTTTTCTGTTTTTTGTTGTGAAAATTAAAATCAAGAAACAAACGGCAAGAAACGTGTTCACTTCTGATTTTGTTTTCGTTGGAAAAATTGATTTGGCACAAATGAGGAAGCTAGAAGGAAACCATTAAAAGTCGTTTCCTGGAAATGTTGGGGCGGGTTATTCCCCCATTCCCAGTGGAAAATGAACATTGTGAGGTCTTCAGTTCGATTCGTCACAGCGACAAATTTTTTTTGCTTCTCTGCTCTTTTCCCAAAAGCTCCCCTTTTGCCCACTAAAAATCCTACGACCAGCCAAACTCCAGCCCTCTCCTCCAAAGCGTCACATCATCTTCCCACTTCCCCTGCAACCCACTTTCATCTTCCCTTCCCTCGCCATCTGCTTCCTCTCCACAACCATCATCTCCTCTCCGGCGACAACCAGCCCCGCGTCTGAGAAGAGAAGCAGTGCCGTCGAATCCTTCCTCCAGCCGGCGAAATCAAGCAGCAGCGAATTTGCTCTGGGGGGGAGAACGCGAATCCTATTGACTGACCCTTTCACACTAGTTTTGAAACAATGAGCTTCAAGCTATTAATTGGGTGAAGTGGAAACAGATTCACCCACCATAACACTGCGATTATAAGCTCTGACCAGGTGATGGAGATCGCCGATTAATTGCGCGATTGTTGAACTGAAAGAGGAAGAAACTACCAACAAACAACGTAATAAGGCTATGAGATGCAGAAGTGCTTTGGTTTTGAGGAAGCTAGGATTTTCTGCGCCGGGAAGATTCGGCGACCAACAGTCAACGGGGACCTGGACATACCGGCCCCGGAAGAATCAGATTGAAGAAAAGCATCCATGGCCTGGAAGCTTCTGGTTGATAGATAGGGATTATTAATTTATTGTCTTTTTTCCTATCGTATATCAACAAAACAGTGGGCTTTTGGAATAGTATTGGGATGCAACTTGCAAGCAAAAGCCCACTCACCGAAAATTAGCACTTATGTTGTATGTGTAATTGTTCTATATATTTAATGAAAATGATGCATTAGTGTAACATAATGAAACCAGTGTAACGTTGACTAATTATTCATATAAATAATTGAATGCTCCTTTATCTATAGTGTGATGTGTATACGATGTTTGTTCTTGTATTGTGTTGGTGAATAGTTTAAAAACAATGTAATTTGTATTAAAAATTATATAAAGTCATGACTAGAGTTGTATGACATTCAACGAACAAAAATTGTGGTAAACAACAACCAGAAAACAGTATTCAATCATGACTAGTACTTAATTAATATAAGATTTTGTATTTGTATTGTGTTTATTTGTAGTTTAAAAACTATTTAATTCGAATTAAAAATTATAATTATGGCTAGGGTTAATATAAGATTTTGTATTTGTATTGTGTTTATTTGTAGTTTAAAAACTATTTAATTCGAATTAAAAATTATAATTATGGCTAGGGTTGCATGATAATCAAGAATCAGAAAACAGAATGAAGCAACTAAACAGGTTTCATTTTCAGAACTCAGCTTCAGGACTTACCAAAATTCTCAGCTAAACAAGGTTTTTTCAGGTTTTGTTTTCCAGGAAATGACAGTTTCGTTTTCATTTTAATTTTTTTTTCTGTTGTGGAAGCTAAAAAAAATGGAATGGCAAGTAAACGGCCCATAAACATCTATAAATAATAAGATTAATTGAAAGCTTCTTCATCGTCAACTAAGTTTCTTCACTCTCCACTTCATAATATCAACTTCATTCTAAACGAACAAATTATACATGTCTCCACAAACATAAAGAATATTAGTTGTTTAAGGAAGATATATTATTTAGAATATTAAATATACCGGGAAAGTAATTATATGTGCGTGGGCGGGTACCCATGGGGCAGGTTTGCCTAAACCCAAACTCAACCCGACCCGGTGAATAGTGTAACGGGTTTAAACCCGACCCCGCCCAAAACCCGTCAACACGGGTTTTACCCGCGTTGACCGGGTTGGGTCGGGTGGGTACCCGTGGGTTCGGGTTTTGTTGCCATCCCTATCCAGAAGCAGCAACCGTCGGAAGCAGGGTCGAGAGATCGTCGCCTCCGCTTCCCCGTTGATGGAGCGCATGGCCGGAACTGAAAGAAGAAAGAGGAAGAGGAAGAAACAGAGGAGATGGCGGCGAAGTGCGAGCGCCAACGTAAAGGGGAAGGCTACGCCGGTGGGCTACCTTTACTTTGGAGGGTCACTCGCTTTATTAATATGTATATTAGTTATTGTTTTTATGAAAATAAAATATTTATTGGATTTTATGACATGGAAATGACAAATAATTACTTTTATTAGTTTTAACTGACACATAAGCTTTTTAACGGTCAAACATAACTGTTAACCGCCACCTAGGACAAAGTTAACGGAACTAGACGGTGAGTGACCAAGGATGACATAAATATGTAATATCAATGGCCAAATTGAAAGGAAAGTGATTCGAGTGGCTAACATGTAGCAAATAGGTAATATGAGTGACCAAATTTGCAATTCACCCGGAGAATCATATTGTTACTTTTAATGTCTTGCCCAATGTTGCATTGTTTTAAGGGAAGAAATTAAGGGCAACATATCGCAGACACCATTATGAGAATTTGGGACTTATACCACTTAAGTAAGAATAAGACATTGCGTGCCATTAAATTTTATTATATGTGCACGCGATATCATTTAAGTTTACTGTCAAGCGCATTCCGTTAAAGTTGATAGAATAATATTAGAATATTTCATTATTTAAATTTCATATGGGTCCTTCTACTTTTTTGTTATTGTAAAAAATCATTTGGACTAATGAAAACATAATTTTTTATCGTTTAGTTGGAATAATCTTTTGAAGACTCTATTTTACACCAAATCAATTTTTTAATAAGAAATTTAGAATCAATTATCATTATAAGTATTTTCAATTATCATTATGTGTTCTAATAATTGAATTATTCCCTCAAGAAAATATATCTTATAAATTCTGTCTCGATATAAATAATCTGAGGATGTTATATTTAGTTATCTTACATCATGTTAATCTTGTCTAATTGTCTATATTAAATCTCTTTGTAATTATCTAATAATATGTAGATGTTTCATATTAGTTAAATTTATTAACTGTAATTATCTTTATATATTCATATTTTCTTTTTTAGATTTATTACTGAATGTTGTAATTTTTATAGTTTACATAAATCTTTTTTGGTCTTGATATATTGATGGTCGATTAGATTTTATTTTAACTATTTTTAGTGATGATTATAATTGTATTAGGAATTTTAATAGATCTTCTTATATTGATTTTATATTTTTATTATTAGTATTATTATATTCTAGTATATTTATTATTTTTACTAATTTATCTATTTTATTGAAAAACATTCATTAGTCATTCTAATAATACTATATTTAGAAGGTTTTCTAATTTTTACATAAGATAATACTTGTTGACATATAGTTTTGGGTACCAAAAAGTAATTAAAGTTAAGGTTGGATGGAAAACTAGACATATGCACCTTTTTGTGACTTTAATGGTACCCAACGCTCTATTCAAACTTAAGTGGTATATATGCCCCAATTCTCAAACTTAAGTGATATCTTAGTTATTTTATCCAAAAAGTTAATATGCTAACTCACTTTTTGTGAGTATATACTCACACGGTGAGGATGAAGGCCACGTAGAGGGAGTTGAGATCTAAGAGTTGGGGCTCTCTTGGCTGTCTGTGTACAGATATGACCATGTCATATATGATTCCTTTAATGACTACGTGCTTTGCGACTATGTTGGTGAGGTTGTTCTTCTTGCCTTCTTTTCATGTCTAGTCACATTCTTCAGCATGAATCTTCTTTCGCGAGGCTGTTCTGGTTGATTGGTTGTCGTGGTGGTAGTCAACTTTACTGTTGTGTTGGTGATTGATGGTTGAGAGGGCTGAGATCGAAAGATGGAAACAATCTTCCCTTGTCACTGTAGTCTTCTCAGTAGCCTTGGTTGGCAATTGGAGAGTCTGTTCTTTGTTCTCCATCATCGATAACTTTTCTCGAATAACCTCGTTTGACTATGTTTTCTCGCTGTCTCTTTCTGCATAATTTTTTTTCAACTTCATCTTGTTTCTCTTCTTGTGGTGTTTTCTTATTAAGATCCATTGGAGTTGCTGTTTCTTTATCTCCTTTTGCTGCTGTTTTTTTTTTTTTTTTTGCATGTGTCTTTTCTGGAACTCCTTTTGGGGTGTTTCCCTGATTCAGAATTTCTTGAACAGATTTGTTGGTGCTTCTGTTGCAAATATCACCAGTGGAACTCCTTATTGGTTGCTTTCCCTATTCACACCTTCTAGAGCAGATTTTTGTGGTTCTCTCTTGCAGCTGGTTTTTCTGGAACTTCTTTGATGTATCCCTAGTTCAAAGTTTCTGGAACTGATTTTGGCGATACATCTACTTCCAATGTAGTTAAAATCACGCTTTAAAGCTTAAAAACTTATGTTTTT